GGTGAATTTTCAAAGCAGCTTTATTGATATAATCACATGCAAATTTCGATAAAATTATAAAGAGGTAGAAAGTTATAAGTTTTAATTGCTTCCTTTATTATAATATTAAACTCACAAAAAACTTGCAAAAGAGTTAAAATACAACATAAGCAATAAGTCTATCTATTTATGCAAAATTTCTTTGTTACAGTTAACTAATTACTACACTATAAACTAACTAATTTTTATAAAAAATTATGATTTTTAAAATTATTTATTATAATTAAATGTATTAATTATAATAAAATATACAATAGTAATATAATTATAATTATAATTATTGATGAATATTAAATAATTTTCTTTAATTTAAATTAAAAATTTGATTAAAATAATTAATTTATTTAAAATTGTTAATTGGATCTGTTTTATTAAAAAAATATTAATCATAAAATCACATTATATCTTAAAATTTTAGTTATAATAAATAAATGATATATAATGATATTACTTTGTAATCAAACTTTTGCTCAAATACAAGACATAAATCTAACTTTCTAAAACCTTATAAATTTTCATAATGCCATAATCACATGGATAAAGCAGTTCCTTGTTCTTTGTTCAAACTATCAACTCAAGAACAAAAACTTTATTATGAAAAATAAGATAAAGTCGATGTAGAAGTCGGATAATTGTGGCTCGTCATATATAAAATCAGATTTTACACAAAAACGACACCTACGAAAGATTAAATCCAACGTATTACATTTTGTTTTACATTTCATAACGAAAGGATTGCAAAACAATGTTTATAATGGTTTTATGGCGTAGCTACTTCAAGCGTTACATTCCTCATATAATTTTATCGAAATTTGCATGTGATTATATCAATAAAGCTGCTTTGAAAATTCACCAACACTGCATAATAACATAATTTACTTTCATTTGAAAAATCATCTCGCCGATGTTTGCATTTGCATGTAAAGTTCCGAGTGAGCACTTTACAGTAATAAATATTTTTGAGATTCACTCGAAATATCTGCTCATAATAGCTATGCAATTTTGAAGTAAAAATCCAAAAATGATTATGAAAATGGAATCTTTTACGTCATTTGGCATTGTACCGTACATTGTCAATTTCACCATATAGCGGGAAGATCAACATTTGCAAAATATGTAATTTCTACTAATCTACTAACACGCGTTATTCAAGTCTCTTTAATTGTTATGACGGACTACATAAACTCGTTACGCGAAAAAATTGCATTCATGTTCATGACGCGTCTACATTTGCTGAAGCAGGTAAGAATTTCTTTGTTATACAACTTTACAGTAAGTCATTTTAAAGGCAACGGAAAAAGGTGTTGTGGTATGCGCATATTTAATAAAATGTCCAAACTTGGGATTCGAGATTTGCATATCGACATATCGACATGCATTTTGTATCATTGTTTATCGGGTGCAATTGGCTGTGTTTAGTATCAATACTTATTCAAAATCACACAAACTACTTAAAAAGAGGTAGGTTATAATACAGGGCGGTGTGAAAAACGTCATATGATCGACAAATGTGGAATGGATTTAATATAAAATACGTAAAACAACGTTTCTTTTCCCACCATAGTACACAAATTTTCTCACATCTTGCGAATATTTCCGCCCCTTTTTTTGTTTGAAAAGCTTGAAAAGTTGAAAAAATAAATAAAAAATATATCTCATTTTTTCGTCGTAAAAAAACTAAGCTTACCTTTCGTTCAAAGTAGGCTTTTACACCTTTATATAGTTAGATATCGCCTCTAAATATTTCTTTCCTTCATAAATAAATATATATAAAAAGTTTACATTTCTAGGTTTCAAATATTTTTTTTCTTTGTAAAGATATGAAATTTCTAGATACAGCTTCTCTCGATCCCATAAATACCGCGCTGGTATTTGAGAACCCAGAGTGCAGGGTTGTGGGTCGAATAGAGACCTACTCCTGTAAGTAGGTGAAACAATGGGTAGTGACGGAGTGGTCAGTGCATTTTATTATTAGAGAACACATGCAATCCAGGAGAAAAAAAAATCTAAAAAAAAACTCTTCGTATTTTTAGGTAAACTTGCAGGCGTTGACAAAAAACTTTATAAACATCTTGAAAGTCAATGGAATTCTGATTTTTCCCAAGGTTCAGAAAGTGTCTCACCCGAACCTATTCATACTCTTCACAATATAATTTCCCCGTTTGGCCCAATGAATCAACCTTCTTCTCGCAGGATGTTGTTCAATTTAATCGCAACCTTAAACGCGTCTTATCCTGATTATGACTTTTCGTTCGTATTTCATCTTTATTTGTCGCGTTTAATTCATAATGATTTTATTTCGTGCGTATTCTGATATCGCTTTTAATGTAGTGACATCAAACCTGACCAATTCACCAAACAACCATCAGTTCCCATGGTTTGCAATTATATAAATAATACCTTATTTAATTTAGGTCGCGCTTATATAGTTAATGATTTGAATTTATGGCAAGTGATAGACGACATCATTGAATTAGACGAATGTAGTGTTTACTCATTTAATCCTGACATTGATTCAGACCCAAATGCGGAAGATGGCGCCATGTATGTAATTGTGATCTTTTACCTTCTCAACTTACAAAGAGATACTCATATTTTTGGAATATTTTCAGAGAATTTCTTCAAGTTTTAAAAAAAAATTTGTTTTTATATATATATATATTCACATGGGCCTCTGTACACATACACAAGCTCATTTCATTGAATGATTATCTTTTCTTTTTTTTTTTTCCTCTAATTTTTGCTTTATAGATGGTCATTCAATTTCTTCTTTTACAACAAAAAATTAAAACGAATATTATTTTTCGCTGTCAGATGTTTAAGGTATTTTTCACTTTTTATACACGCATATGTCACATTTGATAATTCTAAAATTTTTTTAAACAATTTTATTTTGTAGTATTAATGCACCTTTGCAAGAAGAGGAACCGTTGGATTCATACTCGGACTCGGGGAGCGACGTAATGTAAGTAATTTCGAGAAACAGCTAAAGTGCAAATAAGAAATCAATAATTCTAATAGAATGGTATATTTATAGTGGGATGTCATATGAGGAATATGTGATGGGAGATATTGAAATGTAATAACAGTTGGTTTATAACCTATCGAATGGCCATAAACAAAGCGAAGAGTCTAAGTGACTCAGAATATTCATGACAAAATCGATGCATGCGTTGAATGTAAAACGTAAAATCAAACGATCTAATGATATCTTCAAATATTAACAGATTATCATATCTGTGTTTATTTTCTACATTCTTACCGGTTTATTTATATATTTTAAACCTTTATGTATGACAAGTTGTATTTTAGTACTTGATTATTTATTTATTAGGTATAAAGTAAATCTTATTTGGGAGGAATACGTCATCCCATCCCTAATGGTACTCTATCCTTCCGTTTTTTTTTTTGTTTTATTTTTTATATTAATATTGAACTTGGAATGGTACTCTATCAAAAAAAAAAAAAAAAAAAAAAAAAAAAAAGAAAAGAGCTTAGGAACAAACCGTACCTACACGAAAATGTGTCATAATTGCGCAAATTGAATTTACACGAAATTTATCGTTATTATTTATTTATTTACTTAATTTTCAAATATAATAATTAAATGCATATGACAATGCTTTTTTTGACAAAATAAATTTTATCTATGAACTATTCGAGGTAAGAAAGAAAGAAATTCGGTATAGAATATAGAATTACTATGGAACCCGGGTAACGGCATTATTATTTTGCCGATATAACCATTAGATAATGTTTATTTTTATAAGTTCATTTTGAAGAAAAAAAACAGGTTATTTTGAATTTATGAATTATAATATGAAATAATATGTGGCTCATGCGCTTCATTATTTGAATAAAAAACCTTAATTTTACGCACGTTATTTTTTTTAAAACTAAAAATAGCTCTCAGTGGTTCTCCGGGGTTACGAATCCGATATTTATCTAAAAGTCACTTTGGGGGGGAGGGAATAATGACCAAGAAAAGAAAAGATGTTACACGATGGAAATAAAATTAATAATAAAAAATATTCGAAAAAATATAAATACGATTCATTTCAAAGATGTTTCTAAAAAAAAAAAAAATTAAAAAATTATCTTTTGAATTTTTTTTTAAATAAATCATGGGATATTGGAGTAAAGATAAATATATGATGTGGAATCCTTGGGATTTCCCAAATCCGTTTCCACCCAACAGATCTCATGGACCGAATCTCCAAAACATAACCCAAAATTTATATTGCTTAAAAATGAAACTAAAGACGATAGAAGATGTTAAATGTATCCCATCCGAGACGAAAAGGTATCTTAGATGGATGCTTAAGGCGGTTTGCTCATGCCAGCATACTAATGCAATTCCTAATCCAATTATACGTGAAACTTTGGACATTGCGTTATCAGATATTCTTGACAATATTATTCCTCAATTAGAGCTCGGTAACCCCCCACCTTTTTCCTGCATCCCGTTAAACGATGACAGAGAAATTTTTATGATCTGTCAAGAATTGCAGAGTGATTTAGAAGAATATACCGAAATTACTGATGAATTTTGCGGTATGCCGAGGTTAGCGATGGTTTTGTTCACATTATATCCGAACAGTAAATAAGCGAGAATCTTGGAATTTTGTTTTTTCACAATCGAATGACGGCTAAAAAAACTTCTCCGATAACGACGAATGACACTTTAATATATGATTTATTCTATTTACGTGAAAAATGGTTAGAACGTTGATATAAAATTTTATTCATTTATGTTTAAGGACTTTATATGTTTGTTAAAATATGATTAGCAATTGAAGGATATTGTAATATATATATATATAAATAATATAAATAGTAAATATGATTTAACGAATAATAGAAATAATAATATAGATTTTCTGATATGTAAAATAATTTTTAAATTTTCCCCTCGACAGAAATAATAATCTTTTTAAAGAAAAACCTAAGAATTAAAATCGTTTGTTGTATACTACACGTGTGATGACTTTTGTTTTTGAATGTAAAACTTTCTTAGTTATTTCATTATCGAATTTAAAAGGATTTCTCATTTCTCATTTCTACTTTCTATTTCTTTTTTTTTTTTCGTTTCATGCTTTTCTTGTTGGAACAAAAAATTTCACGTGATTCACCAATTAAGTCATAATTCGTAAGCTATTGCGTTCGTAAATCCGTAAATCTTCCATTAAGTTCTTTTCTTCTTTTCTTCTTTTTTTTATTTTAATCATAAATTTAAGAAGGACTAATTAGGAATAAAATTTGTAATAAAATAACATTGTTTTTTATAATATATGGTTAATATCAAAAATAATAATAAAAAAAATAAATAAATAAATAATGCGGTATGCTGTGATCAATTATCATATTTTTCTTTGTTTAATTTAAATTAGATTACAAATAATGTTTTTTGTAGTATACACACAAAAAAAAATTTTTTTTCGGGATTTACCCTAATCACTTATTGCCAAATTTGAGAGGGAACTCGTTAAACCAGCTGCACATCGGAGAAAAAAAAAACTGCGTCTATGCGATTCAAAAATCGAAAAGAAGATTGTACTCCGAACTTTTTATTAAACAAAAAAAAAAAATTAATAATAATAATAATAATAATAAACGCCAAAAAAAAAAAAAAAAAATTCAAAAATGGAAAGAATTCAATCAAACGGATTTCCCCCAACAAAATGGTTTAATTAATCTCTTTTTGATTTAGAAAAAGAATAATCCGCTTACTGTTTCGCCAAGTGTTGTACTATACATCTTTTAAAATTTGGCCAAGACATCAATAAAAAAGTTAATGAATTGTGAACCGCAGTAAAAGGCGAAGCTCCAATTTACACAAACGTCATATGTTTCCAAAAACGTTACTTTTATCGTTCTAAGAAAGTTTGACGTAGTATAACTTTAATATAAACAATCTGATAAATTATCAGATTTCGGATAAATAAATATTCATTGTTTGTTTTTAGTTAGCTCGTATGATCATAAGTTCAATTGTAAAAATTCCATAATAATCATCAAATGATCCATTGATCCCTTATTCGTTCATCATATTAATAATCGAATTTTCGATAGGGATGACGCAGTAAAACTTACGGAGATGAGGCCGACTTGCAAATATTGCATCATTAAAATCAAAAGAATGCAGGTTCCATTTACCTAATATTCGATTATACAAAGAAAAATTTGTCTATAATTAGAATTTGAATGGATGGTAGTGTTTCTTTGTGATTTTAAAAATAATATGTCAAATCAAATCTGAGTTCCTCGATGATATATTAAAAGTTGTGCGTGTCTCTCTATATAATGCTTATGTGCCAAACACGCATTATACGCTTTAACCTTTGTAGTGTGAAAGGAGGAAACAACTACCGAAAATAAAGGGTTAATGCCAAATCTGTACTTATTTTACTCCAAAATCATTAAAGTAAATGGTCTACTGCAAAAAGCATCCATATGGTCTTATACTTTAACCAATAATCTAATATTTGTATAAATAAGCGAGTTGACGTAAAGCATACATTAAATTACGAAATCACTGCATAGAATTCACACTTTTTTTGAACAAAAAATTTTTTTTGTTGGTTAATGAATTTTTTGATTTAACCAAAAAAGGATTGTTTGACAATACTTAGCCTGTTACCAGGGTTGGATATTTTTAATGTTTGGCTACGACCAGTAGAATGACCAATTACATTTATTTGTTCGAAAAAAAAATTCATTCGACAATCATTTGCCTAAATATTTATCCTTTGCTATTTATGTTATAGCTATAATTTGTATTTTATATAGCATATTACATTTGTATATATATTTTATTATTATATTTCCTTTCTTATTTTAGAAATACAATCTATTTCAAATGGAATATTTTAAAGTGCCGATCCTTTTAAGATCGACACTAAATCATATGATCATGGGGATAATTGTCTAATAAATTAATAAAACAAACAAATTATTTTTAAGCTACCAATATCTAAATACTGAATGTTACAGGTTCTTTTATTGATAATTTACACTATAAACTATATTCACATTATTGGTGAAAAGTTCAAAGTTTTTCAATTATTTAAAAAAAGATGTAGAATTTTTTCCTATTTTAGTTAAAGTTAGAATATATTCAGTTTTATTTATCAAATTGATTTATACATTAGAAATGCAATTAATATTTTTATCTAAAATTGAAAATGAGATATGTAAGATTGAGATTTATTAATATTTACTTAAAAAACATATAGATATTTTGTAGTAAAAAGGGAAAAAACTATTAAAAAAATTTTTTTATTTTATAAGCTAAATATTATTTTTTTAGTAAAATAAATTTAGATTTAACATTAACTTAAAAAAATTTTTTTAGTAATTTCCTTTCTTTCTACTACAAAGCATCTATATATTAGATTAACTCCTAATAATATCTAGAAAATATTTAAATTAATTCAAAAATATATTGAATAATAACTTTATGATCTTGAAGATTTAAAAGTATAAATAATATTTATATAACATTACATCTCTACTTATTATTTACTTAAATAAAAGGATTTTAATAAAATAAAATTACTTTTTAATTATTATTTTAAATAAAGAATACTTACTAATATTAAGTGATATAAGTTTTTTCATCTTAGATTATAAAGTAGTAAATTAAATATAAATTGAAAAAAATATATTCTATTAAATATAAATTTAATAAAAAAAAAAGCTTTATTTTTGACAAATAATATTTTGTTCTATTAAATGTACTAATATAACCTTTTAATTATGTGATAAATCTAAAGTAACTTTATTTATTTTATATCTTTTTATTATTATAAATTATTTATTATAAATTTATTTTTTTAGTTTTTTTTTATAAATTATATTTGTTTTTAAAATATTATTTTAATTGTAAAATTTAATTAAAAAAAAAAATAATAATAAAAATATATTGTTTAAAAAAAGAAAAAAAATGTAAATGTTTTTAATATTTTATAATGCTAAAAATTTATAAAAATAAAAATAGTTTTAATTAGGCAGAACAAACTTATATAATTAATTTTTATATTTTAGTTAGATTAGAAAAGTAAGATTTCAAAAAATTTTTAAA